TAATTTTTATCTTTTTTTTTTATCTTTCTATCTTTTCATCCTTTTATTTTTTTATCTTTTTCTCTTATTCTTTTTTTATCTTTTTCTCTTTTTATTTTTTCATCCTTTTATCTTTTTCTCTTTTTATATTTTTTTATCTTTTTATTTTCTTTTTATCTTCTTATCTATTTATCTTTTTCTCTTTTATTTTTTTCTTTTTTATCTTTTTCTCTTTTTCTCTTTTTCTCTTTTTTATTTTTTTATTTTTTTATTTTTTTTATCTTTTTATCTTTTTTTCTTTTTATCTGTTTATCTTTTTATTTTTACTTTTATTTTTCATCTTTTTATCTTTTTATCTTTTGACTTTTTTTATTTATTTTTCTTTGTATCTTTCTGTCTTTGTATCTTTTTATCTTTTTATCTTTCTATCTCTTCATTTTTTTCTTTTTAATTTTTTATCTGTTTATGCTCATTGGGTCCTCTAGTGCAGTGTTCTTTAGTGTTTGCAGGATAAAATTTGAAAATCTATATTAGGAGCACAAGATCATCAAGAGAAGAAGCACAACATCTACTGATGGATGCTAAGTGATAGAGTATCTACTGAAGGATACTATGCTATCAAACACTTACTGATGAGTGTTGATGAAAAAGATTTGCATCTACTGATGGATGCTAGGTGATTGAGTATCTATTAAAGGATACTATGTTATTAGACACTTAATAATGAGTGTTTATGAAAAGGACTTGCATCTAATGATGGATGCTAGTGGAAGAGTATCTACTGAAGGATACTATGTTTGTATATACCTACTAATGGGTGTTGGCGATAAAGATATGCGTCTACTCAAGGATGCTGAAGGATTTTGGGTCAGGCTCGTGACGTTAAACAAGCGCTACATAGGAGGCACCCCAGTTTTCTAAACTTGTCTTTTTATTTTTGTGAACTTTAATTTGCTTCTGTTTCTAGAATAGGTTATCATGTACTTGGCTTAAAATTTAATTTGTGATGCAATGGTTTGATGATAATGTTATGTTTGTAATGAGTGTTGCTTTATGATGCTAATTATATTGATTGATGTTGAGATGATGCATGATGCTAATAACACAGGTGGTTGCTCATAATATTGTTAAACAAATGCATGATGACTTGTGATTGTGATTATGATACTGAGCAGGATGTTTATCTAAATGTTGGAACTTGAGTTAACCTATGAGAGATTAGGCTCTAGAGTTTTTGATTGATTGAGTGTTATTGCTTTGGAAGCATGATTGATTTTGCCTAATTTTCTATGATTGAACCACTTGCTTGCTTGTTACAAATGATCAAGGCCATGTTTTTCTTCTCCCTTAGACCCAATGTTTATAGGTGAACCCAATAAGGATCAATGTTTTCTCTAACCTTTGCACTTTGAGCCTAAATTTGAAAGGTGGAAAAATCCTTTTTGAAATCCTTACCTTGAGTTAAGTAGAGTATGTTTTGTGGTAATGGAGAATGGTTCAAGTTTGGGGTGGTGAGAGACCAAAAAGAACTTTGTGAAATTCATTAAAGAGCAGTGGGAAAAAGTAAAAGCAAAAGCGAAAAGAAAAGAGAAGAAAAGAAAGAAAAGAAAAGTTTGAACTCAATGAAAGGAAAGTTGGGAATGAGTTGAAGACTTGGTTTCTAACATAAAAGGAGAAAGAGAGATTATTGTTAATGTGAATAAATGAATTGTGCACTCTCTTAACTCAAGGAATTTTGTTGTCTAGAAAAACACATTTTCTTCTTAGCCCAGCCTCAATACAAGCCTTGAAAAGTCCTTGTGATGATAACTTGCTTGTGAGTATGTTTAATATGTGGTTAAATGAAAGGAAAAGTTGATTCATGTGACATTATGATGGTATAGTATAAGAGTGTAACCTCACTATACACCTTTGAGTTTGAGTGAAACACTTTTGAGTGCTTGAGTGAAACACTGTCTTTGGTGAGGAATTGTTCCATGCACTATACGATAACATTCTTGCGTGGTTGGTTGATTATTCATGAGGTTTTCATCTTTTGTGTATGTCTTGATTATGTGAGCACCATAATTGAAGCTTGATTGGCTAAAGCATCATTTTATCTTGATTAATCTTTCTATTATGTTCATGAGTGATTTACTTGTCCTAAGAGAAAAATACTTTTTGGTGTGCTAGACCATTGTAGTATGAGTATTTTGTTTCAGCCAAATTACATTTTGCTTGAGGACAAGCAAAGTTTCAAGTTTGGGGTTGTGATAACGGTTGAAAAACCGTTATTTTTATACTTAATTTTGATATTAAAAACACCCTTTTTGACTTAGAAGCTTGCTTGAACTCATGCTTTTGCTTTAGTTTTGTGAATAAGAGAGTTGAAGGTGAATTTAATGGTTTTGTGCTAGATTCCCTTGATTTTGTGGCTATTGGAATGATTTGAAAGAAGAGTTAAAGTGCAGAAAAGTCAACCAATCAACCAAAATGCAGAAAAGTCAAACATGCTCTCGTATTGCAATGGGTAGTCTCCGCTCGTTCAAGCAATTCACACATGGACAATAAAATCTTCCATTATTATCTGTTACATTCCTCGTAGCAAATTCAATAAATTGTTGTACTCCTCTCTCATTCTTCGGTTGTTCGTTTAGAATTTATCCAACTTTGGTCCATATTAATGTTTTGTGTCAATGAACTGAAACCAAGAAAGTGGTGACACTTTAACGTTTATTTAACAACGTTAAGCTTTGTAGAAAGCTACAACACAACAACACTATAAAGCTACATACTAATTCTATGCCTTGATTTCATTGAGAATACATGATGTATGAAATTACCCGCTTCATGATGAAAAACAAAGGATGTTGGGTTTTCTCTTTTCTCCACCGAGGACACGGGTGGAAAGCAAAAAAAAAAAAGCATGAAAAGGAATGAGAAGGGTAGACAGGTAAATGCAGAGCAATTGACCATTGAATTAAAATTAATAGAAAATTGGTTGGAAAAAAAATGTAAAATACTAATTTAGATGCACTTTCAAAAGTTTTATTTTTCTAGTCAAACTTAAATAGAGATATTTTAAACATTGAAATAAAAAAGTTTTTTATTAAGATATTTTTAAATTTTAGGCTTAATTTAATAACAGAAACCTGTATGTAACCTATGATAAGTTATAAAGGGCTTTTCTAGTATTGCTCTGTATCAAATAAAAATATTTAGTTAATCTAATATATATATTAATGGTCAATATGTTTGTATCAACAAATCTATAATGAACCTAGTAAAATGTGATATAGTTTTAATTAACATATGATTAACTTTTTAGCGTTTTATTTATTGTAAATGTTAATACTATTCTGCTTTGTCATTAAAATACCATCTTTATGTGAGTTTGTCATTAAAATACCATATTATATGGGTCTGACATTGGGTCGTTTTAGTTTTTAATATCCTTTAGGTACTATTTATTTAATGGTTTAATTGCTTCCTTTGTCTCCAGTTTGGTTGAATTGTGTCAAATTCATCCTCATTTTTAAAAAAGTTTCATTGTCATCCTCACGTGGTGTAAAAGTTTCATTGTCGTCCTCACGTGGTGTAAAAGTGTCAATTGAATCCAAACATAGAAAAAATTTGTGTCAAAGTAGTCATTTTTCCTATATATCTGTGTCTTCCTTTCATACAATCAAGTACAGATATTCATTTTACCTTATCCAATTTAAGGCTTTTCATAGCTCCAGAGAAGTGACATATGAAAGGAAGACACAGAGATATAGGAAAAATGACTACTTTGACACAAATTTTTTCTATGTTTGGATTCAATTGACACTTTTATACCACGTGAGGACGACAATGAAACTTTTTTAAAAATGAGGATGAATTTGACACAATTCAACCAAACTGGGGACAAAGGAAGCAATTAAACCTTTTTTATTTCTTTTGTTTCTTTTTTATAAATAATTGGTAGGAAGTGAAGGATGCAAGTTTTTACAATTCTATATTTGCGACACTTAATAGTATACATATGGAAATACCTAATATTGAAAGATGAGACATGATGCATGAGGGAGGGTGTGCCTACGTGTGAACCCACTGGTCCCTCCACTTACATCCTCATGGTTCAGCCTCTTCCAACATCACAACCTTAGATTCCTTTTCTTCTTATTATCATCTACACGTCTCCCTCACTATCTCTCCTTTGATTTTCCTAAATAAAATCCACAACTAACCATGTCGGGAACCTCTGCATCTTATCCTTAATCCCATTACATCTATTACTCTTTCATCTCTTTCCTTAATTATTAAGAAATAATAATAACCTCAGTAAAAAAAACAACATTCTTTAACCAGATTCTCTTCATCTCATGTAAATTCTTCAAATCCTTTTGATATGAAGAATTTGAGACAAGAACGAAAAAGCAAAAACAGAAACATCTTGTTTCATCGCCGAGAATATATTCAAGATAACTTGTCTGTGCATGCGTAATTCAGTTTGTTTAAAAAAGAAACAAAACAAACTATATAAAGATAGAAATAATGTATATGTTTATTTAAATATCTCCTTTTGATTTGGGAACATGGTGTGTCCTTATGTTTGATATATCACATATCATTAGGAAAATGTGGAATAAAAATGTGGGGAGTTAGGAAAGGAGGAGAGATGACGCTGGTCCAATTCGCTTGTTTGATACCTAACCAGTTTCATAAGATGACAAAACAGAACTGCATGAAATTTGTGGTCACCTTTGAGAGAATCCACCCACTTTTTTATTTTTTATTTCGCTGAGTACTAGGAATTAAACTGGAAAATGACTTGTATGCCATTCCAATCAATACCACATTCAGTAGTACGTAGTATTTATTACCAATTCCCTCCTAGTAGAGCCATACATTATATTCATTCCCTCACATCCCAACATTTTTCACCGTACAACAAACCACTGCAATCCATTATTTCAGCACTACTATATCAAAAAAAGTTAAAAAACAGTGTTTCCTTTTTATGCAGCTAGCTATGGAAATTGCACACCCTATATAATTGAAGAGATGAAGTATTCATCACTTCAAAACTATGGCCATCTGATGCTCACCCTAACCTTGTTCTTCCAGCTCTCAAGACCTCACTGCAGTAAGTACATAGGAGCTTTGACTACTCATTTGGCTCCAATATCTATAAAAAACTTCACTTTTTGATTTTTGCATCTGAAAACTATTGTTTTAATTGTTACAATATACTAGTTAAAGCTTATATGATCATTCTCATATAAAGTTTTGTTTATCCTGTTGCATGTTATGTAAATTTCCCTGAAACTGCTTAGGAAGTTGGGCTTGGAGTATGCAGATCTGTATTTCATTCATTGGCCAGTGAGGTTGAAACCTGAAGCCAGAGGGCCAGCTGATATGTTAAAGGAGAATATGATGCCCTCCTTTGACATGAAAGGAATATGAGAAGCTATGGAAGAATGTTGCAGATTAGGCTTAGCAAAGTTTGTTGGTGTCAGCAACTTTGGCATAAAAAAGCTCAACCAGCTCTTGGAAAATGCAACCATTCCTCCTACTGTCAATCAGGTATGAAGATTTAGCAACTACATGCAGATTGACATTTAAACAGTGATGAAACGCAATTCTTTTTTCAATTTCCTCTTTGATTTATTACCAGATTAAGAAGCAACTACATGCACTTTTCATATCTCTCACTCCTTCTAAGCCCCAACCCAACACTTCCATGAGCAAGATTCCTAGCTAGCTAGCCCACCCATGTTGCTCTAACTGACATTCTTCTCCGTCTACATCATCCATTCAATTATCATCTTCATCAATGTTTTTCCATCCATGACTCAGATTTGCTACCCCATTTTCCAATTCAGAATAAACAGTGCACCCACTCTTATTGGATTGGGATTTGCTTCTAATACCCTCTTTCTCTCTCTGACCCATTTGCATTACCAATTTCTCTCTCTATCTACACAGACACAACACAACACACAACGAAAGAAGAAACATGGTGTTTCTGCTGAATGGGACCGGGAAAAACTCCTGCTGCCTCCGTTCGGAAACACTCTTTCTCTACCGATTGGTCCTTCACACTTCCGCCTTCCTCTTGCTCCTCCAACCTCAAAGTGGGGTGACCTGCAGGAAACACTCCGACACTCAAGTCAGAATTTATCTTTACAAGCCTATAGAATTGTAGTAAAAACAGAGAGTTTACCTTCTCAATCAACTATTATTTATACGGTTTCAGAGAATATTGTCCATTAATTTACCTCTTAATGGCGTTCAATGCTAACTTTAACTACTCGACAATGACCGTTACTTCATTGATTATGCATTCATGATCATTCAAACGCTGTCTCCAACAGACAGTTGTGGCAGCCCGAGGCCCGATCGGAAAGATTGGGTTGTCATTCACATACTCAGTATTATTCCAAACGCGACCGGTCGGTCAATCTTGCTTGGTAGTAACACAAGTCCCCCAAGCCCTAGCAAAATAATTTTTTGCGTAGGGTTTTGAAGTGATCTCCGATCGGTGCGACTCTTCCTTTATCTATGCCTTCAGTCGTAACTGTTTATATTCACAATAGTAGGGAAGCGTAGAGTCACGCTCGAAAATTTTAAGCGGGAAAGGTAAAAAACGAAACGTCAGATCGCCTGAACCGTCGGATCTTCCTACGATTGAACCGTCAAGTCGCTTGGGCCGTCAGATCTTTTGGCGTTTGACGCTTCAGATGTGCCTGTTGAACCGCTTTTTACCTTGTATAAATATCCATACTTTTACCCTAATTTTTTTACTTTTGTCTCCTTGCCATCGCCAATGTCTTCTGCTCCACTGCCTCCTTCCTGTCCTTCTTTACTTCGGTTTCTCAAGTAACCATGTCTTCTGACTTCTCCGACGACGAGGGTAGGGGGTACGCCGACGATGACGTTAACAGTCCATCCTCCTCCTTGGGTGCCATTACGGGTCACGGTGCTAGGGCTTCTCCTTCCGGGAACTCCTCCGATCTCCTAGTGGACAGTGACGCTCCTGAAGAAGTTGCCATCTATGTGGACTCCGCCGGCGCTTGGGATGGAAAACCCAAAGTTTGGCCAGTTGTCCCTGGCTACGATTGGGCTCCTCACGAGGTTAGGCAAATTTCTTCCTCCTTCCACCATCGCCGCCCCTTCAGGGATTTAATCGGACACATCTCTTTGGTCAAGGCGGCTGACGACGCTAGGCATTTTAAACTAGCCATCTGCTAGATAACCGAGCGCGTCTGCCATGATCGGGGTAACTACCCCACCGACTTCTTTTATGTTTATGCCACAATGTTCAAAGATCTGAAGGTTCTTCTCCCCTTCTCTGACTTCCAAGGCGTACTGAGGACGCTGAATGTGGCTCCCACGCAGCTTCACCTGAACGGTGTGGCATTTATGCAAGCGTTCTCTACCATCTGTTCCGGCCTAGCGCATAGCCCAACTCCTGCAGCTTTCCTCTATTTCTTTCATGTACAACCTCATCCGTCCAAACCTTGGATTTCCCTTCGCACGATCGGGAACAGGCACCTGTTGACCCTCTATAACAGTTCGTACAAAGACTTTAATGGGCATTTCTTTAAAGTTGTGCCTCTGAAAACTAGGTACCAGAGCTTCTGTTTCCCGAACAAAGAGGCTAAGTTCCCCTTCTACTGGACCAGAGACCCCAAGAAAGTTATCTCCTGGCCCAAGCCCCGGATGACGCCCGAGCATCTAGACTTAATAAATCAGCTCTGTCAGCTACCCCCTAAGTCCTCTTGCCGTGTTCTAATCGATTTTCTAAGCAACAAGAACCTTCCATCTAATGTGTTCGGTAAGCTATTTTTGACCATCTTTTGTTGAGTAGCCATTTGGAACTTATCTAAATTCACTTCCGTCGTGCAGATTATCTGTCCAAGATGGATCCATCAAAGAACAACACCTTTGCCCGCCTGTTCGCTTAGAGGGGGGCGAAGTAAGGAAGCCAAGAGGGAGCTCGTCCCGTGCCTCGACCACTGTCGTCGTTCCAGCAATATCCCTACCAGTCCAAAAGGCGCCAATTCCCCCGCCCCCGGTCGAGATTGTTACCGACCAGGCTCCTCCGTCGGAGTCCATTCCGAAGAAAAAGGGGAAACGCAAGGCCGTTCGGGAAACTTCGGCGGAGTCTAAGCATGCTAAGAGGAGTCTGTCCGACGGGCCTCCTTTCTCTTGGTTGTTGAGTCCAGACTCATGGGTGGCGAAACGCATCCATTTTGACCTTTTTGCTGAGGAAAAGGCTTTGGTCAGCGGGATGACCGAGGAAAAGTCCTCCAACATGGCTCTGAAGTTGATCGCTCGGTCGACCATGTGCTTGGCCTATGCCGCCCAGAAGAGAGCTTCAGCTTCCATAGAGCTTCAAGCTCTTCAAGAGAAGTTTGATGCCGCCTTCAAGTCCAACCAGGACCTGCTCCTCCGCCTGGCCAAAACTAAGCGAATGGCGGAGGAGGACAAGAAGAAAGACAACACTCTGTTGGCCGAGGCCCGTGCTACTCAGCGTCGTATGCATCGGTCTTTGGACGATGCCAAACTGGACCTCCAAAAAGCCACCACTTCCAACACGAAGGTGACGGCCGAGCGGGATTCTCTCCAGGATCGGGTGACAAAATTGGAGGCAGAAAACAAGCTTCTGGGCGATGAGGTGGTAAATGAGCATTTGCTCGGGTTTGACAAAGCTCTCGCCCAGTGCAATCTCCTCTTTCAATTGCCTACTGCTGATCCCTGCCTTGACGTGAGTATGATGGTGGTGGATGATAAGCTAGTTCCGATCCATGTTCCTCCATCCTCTCCTCCGGCCGTCCAAAATGTCGACCCTACTGTGGAAGTGATTGAAGAGACCGATGGAGCTGATGTCCAGCCCTAGGTCATAGACATAGGATTTTACTGCTTTTTTCACTTTATCTTGTAATAGACTTCGCTTGTAATGAATATACGTCTGTTGAGCACTTGGTTTTGACATATCTCTCGTACTTACTTTCCTGTTTCACTTATCAAATTTTCGTGAATAGCCTTTCACTACTTGCTCGGTTTAGGTCTTAGGAGCTCTCTAGAAGCGTGCCCTAAGACCAAGGTGAGAGTTCACAAAGAAATCTACCTCACCCGCTCGGTTTAGGTCTTAGGAGCTCTCTAGAAGCGTGCCCTAAGACCAAGGTGAGAGTTCACAAAAAAATATGCCTCACCCGCTCGGTTTAGGTCTTAGGAGCTCTCTAGAAGCGTGCCCTAAGACCAAGGTGAGAGTTCACAAAAGAAATCTGCCTCACCCGCTCGGTTTAGGTCTTAGGAGCTCTCTAGAAGCGTGCCCTAAGACCAAGGTGAGAGTTCACGAAAGAAATCTGCCTCACCCGCTCGGTTTAGGTCTTAGGAGCTCTCTAGAAGCGTGCCCTAAGACCAAGGTGAGAGTTAACAAAAAAATCTGCCTCACCCGCTCGGTTTAGGTCTTAGGAGCTCTCTAGAAGCGTGCCCTAAGACCAAGATGAGAGTTCACAAAAGAAATCTGCCTCACCCGCTCGGTTTAGGTCTTAGAAGCTCTCTAGAAGCGTGCCCTAAGACCAAGATGGGAGTTCACGAAAGAAATCTGTCTCACCTGATCGGCTGTTGTAACATCATAAAATGTTTGGTACGTGATGAAAATCATAATATTATTGATATCAAATGAGAAGTAAAAGGTCGTTTCTTAACTGAAGTAAAATTTTAAGTGGGACGCATTCCATGTATTGGGAATAGCCTTTCCCGTCAGATGCTCCAATCGATAAGCTCCATTCTTCAAGTTTTCGACCACTCTGAAGGGACCTTCCCAGTTTGCAGCCAACTTTCTACCGCCCGGTTTCGCCGAGCTTCCGCTGTCTTTCTCCACACTATGTCTCTTTCAATGAATTGTCGGGGTCTTACCTTGGTGTTGTATCGTCTCGCAAGGAGTCTTTTCTAGGCCTCCGCTCGGATCATTGCGATCTCTCTTCATTCTTCCAAAGCGTCTAATTCCACCCAGATCTTATCATTATTCCTCTACAAATTCTAAATCCCCCTTCTGATAGTAGGTTCCCCTACCTCGACTGGTAACATAGCGTCCATTCCATATGTGAGGTTGAAAGGGGTTTCTCCAGTTGTACCGTGCGGTGTGCAACGGTACCCCCAAAGGACTTCTTGAAGCTCATCCACCCAGGCTCCCTTAGCATCTCCATACCTTTTCTTTAGTTCCGCTACAATGACTTTATTGGCCGCTTCCACCTGTCCATTCGTCTGTGGATGCTCGACCGAGCTCATTACATGCTTAACTCCTAGCTTTTTGTAGAAGTCCCCCAAGCCTTTATCAACGAATTGCCGCCCATTGTCTGTAACTATGGTTTTGGGAATTCCAAACCTGCATATGAGTGTCCACGCTAACTTTTGAACCCTCATCGCCGTGATTATTGCGAGCGGCTCTACTTCCACCCACTTAGTAAAATAATCAATTGCTACTAACAGGAATTTCTTCTGAGCTCGGCCCATTGGAAAGGGTCCAACAATGTCTATTCCCCATTGCGCGAACGACCAAGGAGACATCAGACTGTGCAATTCTACCGGTGGCAGTTTGAGATTCCTGCCATGCTCCCGACACTTCAAACATTTCTGCACGAATTCTTTGTAGTCCTTCTCCACCGTCGGCCAGAAATAGCCTGCTCTTATCACCTTCGCTCGAAGCGCTTGCTGCCAAGTGTGCATCCCACACGCCCCCTCGTGTAACTCCTTCATAACATATTCGGCCTCCTCCGCGGCCACACATTTTAACAATGGTAAAGAGAACCCTCTTTTGTAAAGATCCCCTCTATCAGTAAGAACCGAGCGGCTTTCTTGGCCTCGACCGCCCGGATGCACAAGCCACTCTCCTACTTCTGAATAATTTCTTTAATGTCCTTCCTCCAATTAGGTTTACTCGAAACCTCGTGAACCACCAGACACTCCACCGAAGGACTCATCATAACTTACCTTATGACCGACGACAAGTGATCCTTCCCCTTACAATTGGTGAGTTTGGATAAGACATCCGCCCTTACATTCTGCTCTCTCGGCATGTGCTTGAATTCCACCGTCCAGAATTGTTTCACCAACTCCTTTACCTTATGATAATAGCGAAGCAGCTGATCATCCTTGGTTTGGAAACTTTCATTCAGCTGTCCCACCACCAATTGGGAATCAGTCCGACATTTGACCGAAACCGCCCCTAAATCCTTAGCCAATTCGAGGCCGGCTATCACTGCTTCATACTCAGCCTGATTATTACTTATCTTTAACCGAAAGACGATCGTCTGCTCAACAACAAAATCATCTGGTCCCTCCAAAACAATTCCTGCTACTCCCCCGGACCGCTCGGATGATCCATCCACATACAAGGTCCATGCCCAGGGGCATTTTGCTTCCCAAGGTAATTCGACCGCAAAATCGGCCAAGTGTTGTCCTCGGACTGATCCTCGTGGCTCAAACTGTAACCCGAATTCAGATAATTCCACCGACCATCCTACTATTCTCCCTACCAGATCTGGCTTTCGTAGGATTTTTGCGATCGGGTGATCCGTACTCATTATGACCTGGTGACTTTGAAAATACGGTCTCAGGCGCCGTGGTGCCATCAGTAGAGCCAAAGCGATCTTCTCGACTCGTTTGTACCTTGTTTCCGTGGGTTGCAACGTTCTGCTAACAAAGTACACAAGTCTAAACTCGGGTTGTTCCTGCACCAAAGCCGACCTGACAGTGTCCTCCGAAATTGCCAGGAACAACTGCAACGCATGCCCTGACTTAGGCCGTCCCATGACTGGTGGGGTGACGAGTATGCTCTTAACCTTGTTGAAGGCTTGCTCACACTGGTCATCCCAATCAGTACCCGCGCTCTTCTTCATGATTCTCACGATCAGTTTTATCCGCTCGGCCAGCTTTGGAATAAAGCGCGATAGTGAAGTTAACCTTCCTACCAACCTCTGAACCTCCTTCAGCTTCTGGGGGCTTCTCATCTCAAGAATCGTCCTGCACTTGTCGGGGTTCGCCTCTATTCCTCTGGTTGTTAGCACGAAGCCTAGAAATTTTCCCGTCGGTACCCAGAAAGTGCACTTGGCCGGATTAAGGCGCATATTGTACTTTCGCACTTGATAAAAAACCTCCGCTAGGTCCTTCACATGCTCTTCTACTGAACGACTTCTTACCACCATGTCATCCACGTAGACCTCCATGCATCTACCTATCTGACTGGAAAAGACCCTATCCATCAAACGTTGGTAGGTAGCTCCCGCATTCTTTAAACCGAATGACATAACCTCATAGCAATAGTTAGACCACTCGGTAATGAAAGTTGTCTTATCTCTGTCCGGAGGGAACATAGGAATTTGATTGTATCATGAATACGCATCCAGGAATCTTAACACTTGGAACCCCGAAGCCCCATCCACCAACGCATCGATACTTTGTAGCAAGTAGGAATCCTTGGGCCAAGCTTTGTTGAGATCCATAAAGTCCGTACACATTCTCCACTGCCCTCTCGCCTTCTTTACCATCACAACGTTCGCCAGTCAAGTTGTGTACTTGATCTCACGGATGAAATTCGCCTCCAACAGCTTTTTGATCTCAACTGCCACCGTCAATCTCTACTCTTCCCCTAGTCTTCTTTTCTTCTGTGCCACCGGTCGGGCCTCTTTGAACAGTGTGCCAACTTATGTGGCATAATTTTTGGGTGTATCCTGGGCATATCGGCGGCAATCCAGGCAAACAGATCCTTATTTTTCTTTAACTTTGCACCGGTTGACCTAGCTTGGTCCTCCTCCAACTCACTTCCAATGGTAGTAACCTGTTCCTCCTTAGGCCCCAGGTTGAAGGGCCTTGTTTCTCCCATTGGTTCCATCCGATCATCAGTATTAGTCCTTAGATCTAGATCCACCATGGCTACCTCCGATCGTCTTCTCCTTTACCGATTGGGTGGATTAGATGAGGATGGCTGAACCTTCAGCCCAGCTACATAGCATTCTTTGGCAATCCTCTGATCGGACCGGACGGTGCAAATGGTGTCATTGTCCGACGGGAATTTGAGTGTGAGGTGGGGCGTGGAAACAATCGACCCAAATGCATTCAAGTAGGGTCGACCCAACAACACATTATACGATGTGTTTGCATCCACCAACAAAAATCTGGTCTTCAGCTCCTTATTACGCTCGGTTCCCAAGCATGTTCTCAGATCTACATATCCTCTCGTATCCACCCTTTCCCCCAAAAATCCTACTATCTTCTCGTTATACGGGGCTATCAGATCCTCGGATATGTCCATCTGTTGGAACGTTTTCCAGTAAAGAATGTTGACAGAACTTCCTTGATCCATCAACACCTTTCCTACGCTGTATCGGGCAATAACAATTGTTATTACCATCGGGTCGTCCTGATCTGGATCAGGAGCATGGAAGTCTTCATCGATAAACATGATGGGCGGCATGGAGTGCTTCCTCACATCTACCTTGTGAACGCTTTTTAGCTCCCTCAGGTTTCTCTTTCTTGCGGACGCCGACGACCCTCTAGCGAAACCTCCAGAAATGGTGTTTATCGTGCCATGCAGCGATCGGTCATGGCTGCGACTTCTACTCCGCCTACGGTCTGGGCGCCTGTCTTCTCTCCTATCACCTCGTTCCACCCTAGCCCTCCTGGGTGGGCTTCTCGTCCTCCGTTCCTCCTTAACAAATTTCTTCAAGTGACCCGCCCGGATAAGCTCTTCCACCTTATCTTTCAACACCGTGCAGTCCTTGGTGTTATGCCCTATGTTTAGATGATAGGTGCAATGTTTAGTTTCGTTTGCCTTGGGTGATGACCGGGAGGGTCTTACACGAATCAGATCTGCACTCAAGACCTCCTCCAACACTCTAGCCCTTGGCATATTCAACGGAGTGTACTTTTCGTACCTAGCCCCCTTTGGGCCATCTCTGTACCTCTGGACCTTTGATTGTTCGCCAGGTACGAACGATTTCTTGCCCTCCTACTTCTCCTGCCTTGAACTCGTGCTTTGCTCTTGTTGTCGCCTCTGGACCGCCCTCATCTCTTCTATTCTAATGAACCGAGCGACCCTCTCCTGTAATTCATCAAAGGGTTAGCGGGGGTTCCGCAAATAAATTATCGGCGAACGGGGAGGGCCTCAACGCGGTAGCCAAAGTGCTAATAGTAAACTTCTTGCCCACTCCCCTTACTTGTCGAGCGGTTCTATTGAACCTGTCCATGAAGTCCCTAAGCTTTTCTCCCTTCTCCTGCTTTATGTTTGTCAACTGCAGATATGTCAGATTTCACTCTCTACCCGCCGAGAACTGCCGTTCAAACATGTCCCTTAAGGTAGCAAAATTTCCGATAGTTCGTAGTCTCAGAGAATGGAACCACGCTAATGCTTCTTCCTTGATTGACAAGGAAAAAACTTTGCACCACACATTTTCATTGGGGGAGTAAATGGTCATGGCGTCAACAAAGTTTCCTAACCCATCATACTTCTCCAGGGCCGGAAATGCTCTCTCCGGAATCTGCTCCTCCATAACTATCGCTGTGAACGGATGCAAGACCCTAGCTCGACCGGTTGGAACCGGACGGTTTGCGGTCCGATGTGAGCCAGCCTCACTCTAATCCTCCCCCTGATAATAACTGTCAGGAATAGGATCTGTGTCTTCCTCTGAGTCCGGCTCCGTTTCCGGCATCTCCACAATAGGTGGTGATTGGGCGCGTGCGGAAGATTCACGATTACCTTGCGCCCTACTAGCCGCATCACGCTTGCTCCGAAGGGTTTCAATCTCAGCCTACATCGCCTCCATCCTTCTTCTCATCTCCTGCATAAACGCTGTCGGGTCCTGCTCCATCCTTATGGTCCTAAAAGGTTGTCTTTGACGATCCTCGGCCCCACGGTGGGCGCCAAAATGTTTCTGCTGAATGGGACCGGGGAAAACTCCTGCTGCCTCCGTTCTGAAACACTCTTCCTCTACCGATCGGTCCTTCACACTTCCGCCTTCCTCTTGCTCCTCCAACCTCAAAGTGGGGTGACCTGCAGGAAACACTCCGACGCTCAAGTCAGAATTTATCTTTGCAAGCCTATAGAATTGTAGTAAAAACAGAGTTTACCTTCTCAATCAACTATTATTTATACGGTTTCAGAGAATATTGTCCATTAATTTACCTCTTAATGGCGTTCAATGCTAACTTTAACTACTCGACAATGACCATTACTTCATTGATTACGCATTCATGATCATTCAAACGCTGTCTCCAACAGACGGCTGTGGCAGCCCGAGGCCCGATCGGAAAGATTGGGCTGTCATTCACATACTCGGTATTATTCCAAACGCGACCGGTCGGTCAATCTTGCTTGGTAGTAACACATGGAAACTTCACGCATCCATCCCACCATCAAAACCCCTTCTTACCCCTTCATCTCTTCTCTCTTTCTTGAACCTCTATTTTCCTATTTCTTAAACAACACACTAATCTTGAGAAAATAAATATAAAACAATTAAATTTATAAAAGAATTTTTTATCAAACAGGTAGCGTGCAAAATCAATAATCAATTTGATTGTCAAAAATAAAACAAGATGAACACAAGACATTTTGATCAAAACGTTAAAAAAGTTATAAGTTTAAAATATATATATTTTTAAAGTACGGGATTTTATACACACTCCTTAGCCATAAAAGAAACATTCAATAAGAGTTGAGGTCATCTATGGAATATGAGGGTGTTGCTCCCTCCACCACCCCAAGTACCCCTGCACCTCCCCACTATTTTATTTTATTCCAAAAATACTCTACACCTCCTCACTATTTTTTTTATTCCAAAAATATCCTACACCTCCCCACTGTATTCAACAATCTTTCTCTTTCTCTCTCCACATTAATGGAGCATTCACATGACTCAGATTTAAACTTGTGATATATTGCAAAATTTTATTTATATTTTTCCTTAAATAAGTTTAATTCAATCTTATTTTTACTGTTCAATATATTTTTTTTTCTTCAAATTACTTAATAAATAGTAAAATTTTGTTCTAAATTTCTAGAAAAATGTTTATATATATGTGTGTTTTTTTTACATTTAATATCTATAATTTTTAACATTATATTATGTTTTAACTTACCGACATGTTTGACTCAAATAACTTGAATAAAGTATTTAATTTATTAGATAAATAATATAAAAATATTATTAAATACTTAAAAAATAAAATAAAAGTTATTTGTTAAAGATTTGGAATTTATTTAGTTCTTTCGTCATTATAAAGTTAGTATATAATAATAATACTTTATTATAAAGTTTGTCATTATAAAGTTAGTATATATTATTTACTATTAATATTATTATGTTTATTATTTTGTATTTGCATCTAACTTTTAAGTTTATAAAATTGAAGTGGTAGAAGCACTAATATTGAAGTTTCTTGTGAATTTTATATTTTGCAATATATCACAAGTTTAAATCTAAGTCATATGAATGCTCCATTAATGCAAAGAGAAAGATTGTTGAGGATAGTGGGGAGGTGTAGAGTATTTTTGGAATAAAAGAAAATAGTGGGGAGGTGTAGAGTATTTTTGGAATAAAAGAAAATAATGGGGAGGTACATAAGCACTTGGGGTGGTGGAGGGAGCAACACCAGAATATGAGCCTAGACTCTCTTTCTTTGGCCATCTTGGGCCATCATGGATCTTTAAGAGGAGTAACAATATTGGACCTTGGATTTTAGGCTAAGTAATCTATGATTTATTTGGGCTTTGTATTATGGGCCAAGTAGCATAGGATTTAATTTGGACTTTGTATTTTGGGTCAATTAATGTAAGGTTTTTAGACCACTTGGGTCAAAAATGGCCAAAGTCGAATGTTGACCAAGTGGATGTCCATGGGCATAGGTTAACAATGTTGTGAATGTTTTAACTTAGCTAACTTGGTGGACAAGGGTGTGTGGGACCTCCAATGTGAAAGTGGTCATGTGTCATGCTTACATTGGAGAGGATTTCTCATGGTTAGTAGCCACATGTCACTCTAGGAATGGAGAGGATTCTCCATAGGTAATGGCCGTATATCCTTCTCCTATTTGAGAGGATTTTTTCCTTTGTCTCCAACTTAGGTCAAGGTTGTGTTTTTAGTGTTTTGCTTCAACATTTTGGAGACACCTTAACCTATAAATAGAGGTGTCTTCCCATATTATATTCACCTTTGATTTAGAGTATTGTTATAATGTCAATTTTGAGCCATATTACTCTTATTAGGTCACCCTAAGCTAGAGGAACTCAAGTGGCCTCCTCTAGCCACCTTCCTCTAAGAGTTGGCCTAACCTTTCTTAGAGCATCACAAACACCACATCCATCATCACCAAACATCATCAAAATCAGAAGCTTTAGCTCTCTCCCACCAAATTCCGCAAACATTCATCCACACACCATCACCATGGCTTATTCTTCTAATTTTTGCCCAACCTAGCTATGAGGATTGCCATTAGTTACGAACAACTTTTCAATATTTTAAAACACACTATCTCTCTAGAAACTACTTTTTAGAGTTCTTTGACTTGTCCCCAAGAGTTTTCATCCTCTGTTTGTCTGATTGAAGAACTGAGAGCATATGATTAATCCTAGTGTCGAGCTCTTCAATTTGGACCAATTAGTTTCTTAAATAGAGTAAGTTCATTTTTTTATTCTTTTTGGGTCTATTTTTTCTTCCTTTGCGTGTGATATTGTTGTAGTTGCATGTGACGTTTGTGTCTTCTATAAGACTCTCTACTAATTAGTGGTCTTAACGATATACCATGAACTTGTTTCTGTGGTTCGTATGAGTAGATAAGACTTCTAATGCTTGAGGAGCTGTTTTAGGATTTCTAAAACAGATTGGTCTTTTGTGATGGAGGACCATCTAGAGGAAGCATTGGACCTCTAACAAGAGCTATGGCTAGGAGGATGGAAAAAGAAGAAGGGTTTCAAAAGACTACTTCTTTAAAAGGTATATAAGTATTTTTCTTCCTTTCTCTTGAAGCTTTGTAAATATGTACAAAAGTCTTTATTTTAGGTCACTTATTTTTTCCAAATTATCTTGTGAATTGGATTTGTTTTTCATCAAACATGAGAACATGGGTTGGTTTGAAAATTTAACTACATCTACTCAAAGGACTAGAAAATACGTTTCTATAGTTAACTGAAAGCTCTTTGAGTCTAGCAAAAGAAAAATCATCTCATTTAGAGTTTTCTAGAGAAAATTATGAGTAAACCAGTCAATAAAGGTCATAGTTTCTAAAATGTTGTCTGGAATGTGTTCTTGGGCTTGCTTCATGCGTTGGGCTTGCTTAAGCCTTATGGTATCTTATAAAAAGAGTGAGAATTTATTTTGCAGAAGTTATAAAAACCTCCAAGATTTAGGATTATGCTGTTAGATTGTCTAAATGACAATACCAGTGGAGGTTTTAATTTTTTTTTGAAGACTCGTCAAATTATAATACATTTTTCCCTTTCCTTTTTCTTATTTTTTATATTTCTTCCCTCTAAAGAATGGCTTAAGCTTACTTAATCCCTATGTTAAGTGATTTTTTTCAGTTTAGTACCCGATTTTAAAAGTACATACATTGGGTCCCAAAGTTGTCAAAAATTGTATGAATCAAGTCCCTTCCGTTAAATTGACAAAAACATAGTTAACTTCAATTGACGTGCTGAAGAATTCTGCATTTGTACTTCTCTCTCCTCTGCTTTTCCTGTAATGCCCCAACTTTCTCTCTCTTTTTTATATCTTTATTAAAATACTTTTTTTTCTCTTTATTAAATAGCGGTAGATGATATAGCTTGTAGCAATTTTCTGTGTAAGTTAAAGTCTGGAGACAAAATTAACAAGTAATGACCATTTCTTTTTACTTCAGCAAAGGTTGACTTCCTTTCTAATTTCTCGTGTGACTTCCTTAATTTTGTATTCAACCAGAGTGATGTCTTTGTGCACCGTGCTCAGGTTTTAATCCCAAACAACCAATTTTCAATTTTCAATTTTGTCTCTGAAGAGAAAGCGGATAGGGTTTTGTAGAGTGATGGCGGAACCTTCAAGAAACATTGTGGTGGAGAAGCTGATCTCCTACACCAACGATCTAATTAAGGTATTGGTGGAACCGCATCACCTCAACAACCTTTCATATAGTCACCAACAAAACCTCTCTCTCTCTTCCTCTTCCCATTCGCACCACCAAGACGTTTGTTCCTCCCTCCAAGGTTTGTGCCAAAACCCTTTTTTCCATCACCAATTGTATGACTCTTTTCGTTACCTCTCTATGTCATATGTTGCAAATTTAGTATTAAACTTTTTATAGCTATATTCCCGATTACAAACGAGTCTTTTTTAAACGCTCTCATAGAAAAGATTTTGGATTTGATAGATTTTCTAGTCATATGTGTAGAAGTGGATTCTTTGTATGCTAATTTCTAACTATTACAAAAGGTTTAAAATTGCAGTTTGGTTCCATTCTATTCCTTGATATTGTGAGAAGTTGTGGACAAATGTAGCCACAATTGTGGCCGTTGAGTCGTAAAAACCTTAACTTTGCAGCCGAGATTATGGTATTAGAAATTTGCTAGAAATTATATTACTTACATAGAGTAGTTCTTATCAATGTTTTCTGCTACAAGTGGATTTGTTGTATTGTGCTTTTAAATGTTTTTGTATTAATCAGATTGTGAGAAAAAAGTAGATGCTTGCAAACAGAAAATAGAGGAAACTAGATATGAAACTGTTGCTGACGTGAAACTGGACCTTCTACAGAGAGAGATGGAGGAAGAACTTGAAAAAGAACTTTTGTAGAAAGAAGAGATTAGATATGTCTCTAGTTGTGCTTTTTGTCTTTAGAATTGTGTAGCTTTATAGCATAATGTGTCTTACCATCTGTTTCTCATCAGCACAACCATTGGCGATGAATTTAATGATCTAGAACAGTAGCGGATTTCTGTCCAAGAGCAAAAGAAGTCCTTGCAGAAAATTGAGAAGACTAAGCTAAGGACACAGTAAGTAAATTACAAAAAACTTGAAATAATAAAGATATAGAAAAGAGAGAAAAAGTTGGGGCAGTGCAGGAAAAACATAGGAGTGAGAAGAAAAAGTGTAGATTCCTTCGCCACATTAGCTGGGAGTTAACTCCGTTTCTGTCAATTTAACGAAAGGGACTTGATTCATACAATTTTGACAACTTTAGGACCTAATGTACTCACTTTTAAAATTGGATATTAAACTGAAAAAACCACTTAACATATAGACCAAGTAAGCTATTAAATCCTAAGGAATTTATACTTAATATTTTTTACAAACTTTCTCCTCCAACATCTCAAAAATTTCCCACTCCCTCCTCGCTCTCAAAATTTCACTTTCTTTCTCACTCCCTCCTCCAACGTATCATTCCCTCTATCATTCTTTTCTCTTCCAACAAAGTCGCCTTGCAAGGAATTTGTACATGAGGTACCATCTCCCTAAAACCTAATTTATCCTAGTTAGATAACGTAAATAAATGCATAACAGATATTTCTCTCGTAAATAATTATTAGAAATCAATCATCTGAATAGGATCCATAATCATAGGGATTCATAATCATAAGATCCATGGGTGATGATCTACTGACCATCGCACACACCGTCGCACCGTCGCAATGCCACACCGCCGCACTGTCGCGCCACACCGCCGCACCACACCGAAACGTTGAACCGCTGAAGCAAGAAAACGGATATGGAGGAGAGATGGGAGATGAGAAGAATGGATGTGGTGGAGTTGGGGGTGGGAATCTAAGAGAGTTGGGAGGTGAGGCTGAGTGAAAAGTGAGAATGGGTAGAAAGATAGGTTTTAGGGTTAAAGTAAATAATTAGGATTGAAAAGTAAAAAGGGTTATTTTTGTAATTAGAAAATGTTATTTTTGTAATTAGAAAAAGATGTAGTGGAGTTGGGGAGGTGGAGGGAGAAAGTGTGGTGGTGGAGGGAGGAACACCCATGTCTATTATCCAACCTGCAATAAAAAAAAATTCATTCACTATTCGTTCCGTTATCCACTGAAGATCCATTTAAAAAATACCTACAAATATTTTAAAATTTATGAATATATTGGATACGTGCATATATTTAAAAAAATATATTTTATAAATTTTTAAAATAAAATCTTCATAAAACTACAATAAAAATATAAAATACAATATAAATTAAATTAAATATAAATTAAAATTTAATTTTAATTAAATATAACATAATAAAATATAAATTAATTTTTATTTAATTAAATTCAACTTAATAAAATACAAATTAAATTTTAATTATAATATTTTACGGATAGGGATATGTGTAACTCTACAGGTAATTTTAATTTTTTATGAGCAGTTTTAATTGACACCAATCCGTCACCCACTACATGCGGATAATAAGTATCTACAAATATCAACTATTTAGTTTGGTCTAAATTTTATTGTCTTTTAATGATTTATAAAAACAGTTTTCATTGAAAACTGTGTCAATTTAAATAGCTTTTGGTATGTTAAATTTTTTAGTACTTAATATTTCATATAGTTTATAGTAATTTAATGCTATAATAAATGCAATATTTAATTCTATTGAATGTTTAGCTATAAATTTAATTGAACTAGTAACGTTTAGTTCAATTTAAGATACTATTTTATCTTTAGTGGGTTATGTGAGGTATAAATAAGTAATTGACAATATTGACAATATTGAAAGAAAATGATCAATCCATTTCTTGTTGTTTGTTTGGTGATAAATGGTGTTAGCATACCAGTTCATGGATTTCAAGATACACTCAAAGAAGATTTGGAGCTTGAAAAACAACTAAAGCTAATCAATAAGCCTCCTATCAAAACTATTCATGTAGTTTTTAATATCTTTTATATATCCATATATTCTTTTGTTGTATATAGTCTCATTATATTCACTAATTTTCTTTTATGTACTGTATTTTAAATTTTGAAGACAAAAAATGGAGACATTGTTGATTGTATTGATATTTATAAACAACTAGCATTTGATCATCCATTACTAAAGGATCACAAGTTACAGGTATATATGTTTTTTTTTAATATCATCATACTTTAAATCTTTTTTTATTGTATTGCTTGTGATTTAAATATATATTTATATTGTTTTGCAGAGAAAACCTAGTTTTCAAAAATCAAGTATGAAGACTTTAGCAAACAAACCTAATTTTAACTTTGAAAAAGTCCAATGTCCTAAAGGGTCTATTCCTATTCGGAGAACAACAAAAGAAGATCTTATTCGAGAAAAACAATTATTAAAGAATAGTATTCTTCTTCAAGACATGCCTGGTGTTCATGTATGTTGTTTCTCTTTCAGCGAAATCTCAAATTTTCATGATTTATTTGTGTTAATTACATCATGTTTAATTCTTCAATTTGCACTTTTGCAGCTTGCAGAATTAGCTCTTTCATCGAATTTTAGCCCATACTATGGCGTTAGAGGACGAAGCAGCGTTTATAATCCACCGATCACTAAGGGTCAAATGTCTCTTTCTCATGTGTGGGTTCAAAATGGACCCATAAGTTCTAACAATAAAATCAGTTTTGGATGGCAAGTGAGTCTTAATTTTATTATTAAACCCTTTTATCCAATAAATATTATATGAAAAATATATTTAATTTGTGTTTATTTGTGTGCAATCTCACATTTTGATACAGGTGAGTATAGATTTGTATGGTGACAATAAAACTCATTTATACGCATCATGGACGGTATGAATATCTACATGAACATGAAGTCAATTTTGCTTCACATGAATAATTTTTTTTATTAATTTAGGAAGCATTTTTGTCAAAAAAGAATAAATATGAATATTTCATTTCTTCAAAATTTAATGTGATGTTAAAAAATATACAGAAAGACAACTTTCAAAAGACAGGATGTTACAATGTTCGATGTCCAGGTTTTGTTCAAACCAGTACCCAACTTTCTCTTGGGGCAATACCTGGAGATATATCTTCTTATGGTGGACCAGTTTTTGATTCTACCGAGTATATAGCTATGGTAATGATCTTGGCATAAACTTTTTATGTAATATTATATGATACATGCAAGTGAGGTAATATTGTTGACAAAATTTTGTGTACATGGATTTTAAGGACCCAAAAACCAAAAACTGGTGGGTTCATACAAGTGGTGAAGAAGTTGGATATTTTCCAGCAAAGTTATTCTCTAACTTGGCTTCGGCAGATAAAGTAGGGTGGGGTGGAAGGACATTAACTCCTCACGGTTCTCGCAGCCCTCAAATGGGATCTGGACATTTTCCTGATAAAGACCTTTATCATGCATGTTATTTCAGAACTATTTCTTTTCAAAATGCATCTAGAATAATGTATGGACCGGAAAGATATCAAACTGAAAAGTACGTTGACAAACCTAGATGTTATGACCTTAGGTACTACGGCAATGTTCATGGCATTGGTGGATATATGCTTCAATTTGGAGGACCTGGTGGTAAGTGTGATGATTAGTCTAATTTTAGTTATTTATGAACTTCAAAAATAAATTATTATTAATAATTTTTTTTTCTACAAATCTCGTGTTTTGATCTATACATTTAATATTTCGATACATTGTTAAGATAATAGCATACAACATTCGCATCATAAGATAAGATATGACCAGATTAAATACAATACCAAAAAATATCAACCAATGTAATATGAATATAAATAGAGCACTGATAAACCCACACCTTGGCAAAACATAGATACAACTATAACCTATTCTGAAATTTTTTAAAAAGCAACGCCTCAAGCTCGTGGATTGATGTAAAATTTTACCATATTTATTATACTATTATTTCAAAATAGAAAAATAATATATTTACATATGTGCCTCAACAAAAAGGTAATGACACAAGTCAACTTCTTTTAATAGTAATAGCATTGCATTGTTATCCCAAAAATAAGTGTTCTTTTGTATAAGGTTAAATTAGTAATTTAGTTGTTATATTTATAGTTTTTATTCCGTTTGATCACCTAATTTTTTATTATTTATTTAAGTTTTATTTTTATTATTTATTTAAGTTTTATTTTTATTATTTATTTAAGTTTTATTTTTATTATTTATTTAAGTTTTATTTTGTGTTAAATCGATTCAATTTAATAACATCACAATGGTAATATCATGTATCAAACTTCAGTGTTAGTGTTATATGATAATGTGACTAATTTATTCAATTCAAATTTTATATTAATTTTTTATTTAATTAAGAGTTAATTTTATGTAAAATCGAATAATGTTGTTCATGTAAAAAATATAGTAGATTAAGTGAAATCGAGTAATGTTGTCCATGTAAAAAATATAGTAGAGTTTAATTTACTTGCAAATAAAAATATATAAATTTCAAAACTTGTTCATTTTTATAGGGATCCATAATTATAGGGATTCATAATCATAAGATCTATTGGTGATGATCTACTGACCATCGCACACACCTTTGCACCGTCATACCGTCACACCGCATCGCACTGCCTAACTGCTGAAGCAAGAAAATGAATATGAAGGAGAGATGGGAGATGAGAAGAACGGATGTGGTGGAGTTGGGGGTGGGAATCTGAGAGAGTTGGGGGGTGAGGCTGAGTGAAAAGTGAGAATGGGTAGAAAGATAGGTTTTAGGGTTAAAGTAAATAATTAGGATTGAAAAGTAAAAAGGGTTTCACCCAGCACTTGCTGTCATATCAATGGTTGACCAAACCAAATTCCACCCGGCACTTGCTGTCAACAAAGTCAAGCATTTCATCTCTATCCCTTTAGAGATGGACAAAGGTCATTATTCTTCATGCCCCTAAACTTGTTAAAAACTTGATATCTATATGTCAATTAACAACTAACAACTCTGTGTCTATTGAATTTGATCCTTTTGGGTTTTGTGTGAAGGATATTCTAACAGGGATGCCACTAATGAGATGTGATAGCACTAGGGACCTATATCCTATCACCAGGACTCCACCAACCACCACTCCAACACCTTTTACAGCCTTTTCTTCCGTTTTATGGCATAATCGTTTGGGACACCCGAGCGCACCTGTTTTAAGTTCTCTTACGCAAACTAAATTTATTGAATGATTTATGGACATAGTGATTTATGGACATAGTGATTTATGGACATCACTACCAAACCTTTTAATATAATACATAGTGATTTATGGACATCACCAACTTTAAGTTCTGCAGGTCATAAGTATTACTCTTTTCTTGGATGATTACACTAACTTTTTATGGACATTTCCCGTTGGCAGCAAATCACAGGCTTATCTAATTTTCTCGTCTTTTAGTGCATTCATTCAAATTCAATTTAAAATGAGTATTAAATGTTTTCAATGTGATAATGGGAAGGAGTTCAGTAACGAGTCATTTAAACAATTTTGTCATATTCATGGCATGCGATTTCTTTTTTCTTGCCCATATACCTCTCCCCAAAATGGCAAAGCCGAACGAAAATAAGAACCATAAACAACCTCATTCGAACTCTCCTTGTTCATTCCTCTATGCCATCATCGTTTTGGCATCATGCACTTAACATGACATCCTACATCTTGAACATACTTCCAAGTAAGTTACTCTCAAATTATTCTCTCACTCAAATACTTTATCATAGACATCCATCTTATACACATCTACAGGTTTTCGGTTTGTTTGTGTTATCCCCTTTTTCCCTCCACCTCAATCAACAAATTACAACCTCGTTCCACACCCTATGTCTTTTTGGGATACCCAAATAATCATAGAGGCTATAAATGTTATGATCTGTCAAATGGAAAAATAATCATTTGCAGACATGTCAGTTTTGATGAGTCTCACTTCCCTTTTGCCAAACTGCATTCACCTACATCTCACACCTATGATTTCTTACATAAAGGCTTACATCCTTTTTGGCATCACCACTTACATACTCAACCTCTCTCCACTTCTCAAACACAAACTAAGCCCAACCCACTCATGAACCGAACTTGCCCCCACAACCTCATACCTCACCAACATCCCCCTCATCTCAAACGACCCAACGACAACCTTATAAACCCAAACAAAACTTCAACTTAACAACCTCCATTGCACCATCACCTCTTTCTCATAACCCAATAGTCGCTTTGTCTGACCCGAATTGGAAAGTGGCCATGCTAGATGAGTTTGATGCTCTTATTAAAAATAAGACGTAGGAGCTGATTCCTCGTCCTTCTAATGCTAATATTATTCGTTCCATGTGGGTTTTTCGGCTTAAAAAGAAATCTAACGGTTCTTTTGAGCGACACAAAGCTTGTCTTATTTGTGATGGCAGGTCTCAACAGGTTGGTGTGGATTGTGATGAAACTTTTAGTCCAGCAGTCAAACCTGCAACTATACAGACAATTATGAGCATTGCACTATCAAAATCTTGGTCTATCCATCAGTTGGATGTTAAAAATGCCTTCCTGCATGATAAACTCCATGAAGTTGTATACATGCATCAACCGATGGGTTTTCGATATCTCATTAATCCATATTATATGTGTTTATTGAAGAAATTTCTCAATGGACTCAAACAAGCCCCTCATGCTTGGTACCAACGGTTTGCTGATTTTGTTTCAACTTCGATTTTACACATAGCAAATCTGATCATTCATTATTCATCTATCATAAAGGAACTGACACGACATATATTCTACTTTATGTTAATGACATCATTCTCACAACATCCTCTACTGCTCTTCATAATTCCAATACGTCACTCCTTGCTTCTGAATTTGCTATGAAAGACTTGGGTCCTTTAAGCTATTTTCTAGGTATTGCTGTTACACGAAATGTAGGTGGACTGTTTCATTCCCAACATAAATATGCACAAGACATTATTGAGCGAGCAGGCATGAGCTCCTGTAAGCCATCCACCATGCCGGTCGACACTAAGCCTAAACTCAGTGCATCTTCGGGACCCTCCCTACTCTGATCCCACACACTATTGTAGTTTAGCAAGAGCTTTGAAATATCTCACATTCACAAGACTTGATATATCATATGTTGTGCAACAAGTTTGTCTACATATGCATGCGCCAAAAGATGAATACATGCATGCTCTTAAAAGAATTGTGCGCTACATTCAAGGCACTCTTGATCATGGTTTACATTTTCACCCCTCTTCACTCTCTAGTCTTCTCTCCTACACTGACGCTGATTGGAGTGGATACCCAGATACTAGGTGTTCCACTTCTGGATATTGTGTTTTCTTTGAAGACAACCTGATCTCATGATCCTCAAAGCGTCAGCCAACCTTATCTTGATCTAGTGCTGAAGCAAAATACAAAGGAGTGGCTAATGTGGTCTCTGAATCTTGTTGGATTTGGAATCTCCTCTTCAAACTGCAACATCCAATTCATAAAGGCACACTAGTCTATTGTGACAATATCAGTGCTATCTATCTTCCAGGAAATCCGGTTCAACATCAATGCACCAAACACATTGAGATGATATACACTTCGTTCGTGAGAAAGTGGCTCAAGGACAGGTTCGTGTCCTTTATGTTCCATCACGTTATCAAATTGCTGACATCTTCACTAAAGGGCTTCCGTACATACTGTTTAATGATTTTAGAGATCGTCTCAACGTACAAACACCTCCCATTTTAACTTGCGGAGGTGTGCTAAATAACGTAAATAAATACATAGTAGATATTTCTCTTGTAAATAATTATTAAAAATCAATCACTTAAATAGGATCCATTATCATAGGATTCACAATCATAAAATCATAAGCTACTGTTCCTCTTGTTTTGATATATATATTGATACTATCATATCAATGAAAAGCAGGGGATGATCTCTAACAATCCTGCTTGAAATTTTCTTTTATGCATTTGGTTGTCTCTGACAGAGCTGTTTGGGGTTCACATACTCATGTTTATACTACCTGTTTGCTTTTTTTCGCTAGCATCCTTTATTTTCTTTTTTTGTGGTTTTTTTCCTTATATAATGTTCTCCTTTGTTCTTTACTGTTTGGATTTTTGAAATTACAAAAAAAGTGAGAAAACTCATTTTTTCCTTCCTAATGACGCTGTTTTGAGG